AGTGGTGACATGTTTGTTTGTTTTTGTTTGTTCTTCTCAGGTGTGTTTCTTGGTACCCCAGGATGTCCAGACAAAAAGGAGATGAGACAACTACTCCTTTTCTTCCACATCTCCTAAGGTTTTATAAATATAGCCTAGCTAGTATGTAAATGTGTCTACCGGTTCTAAGAACAAAACAAGAAAGCCAGCTGCTATGATTTTTAGTTGTTGCTGTGCTTTTACTCTATCTATAGATACATTTCTGCCCTTCTCTTTCACCTCCAGATTCCCTACAGCGCCAAAGTAAACCCCCAAGAGGGTTGTAGGCTGCACCACTACAGTTAATAGGAGTTCATTGTTGTGACTCAGTATTGAGTTTAAGAGCTAAAGGATTGTACTGTTGTCACCCAGAAACTCAGCCAGGAGTAAGGGCAACTCTACCCTTCAGTCAAAGAGCCAGGCTGAGCAGAGCAAGGCAGACACAGGACTCAGAACCGCCACTGAAGCTGGGTTTGAGAGCTCAGGCATGTAGACTTAGCACTTGGGAGGCAGAGGCAAGAGGACTGCTAAAGGCCTAAGCCAGACAGGTTTTGGGGTGGGGAGGGAGACGGAAAACTAAAGAAAGAAGGGAAATAGACTCAGGTCCCAAACCTATTCCCTGTGATCTTGAGAACAAGTTAGGAAATGGGGCCTGAAGGGCAAGCACATTCAAGTAGCATTGCACTCTCCAAATTGAAAGAGCCCAGCATGACACTTCTAATCTATCTGATGATTTAAATTGTAACCTCCCCCATCATAAGTGAGGTGTTCTTGTAGTCAGGGCCCAGCATGACTGCTTGGATGCATATCTCTCTCTCCTGAGCTAGCCATGGTATGAAGCCACTCTCTTCGGCTGACCTCCTTCCAGTTTCCCTGAGGCCATGTGTGGCCTATGACAGATGGTCACTGTTTCCCTCTGTCCAGCTAGGCCTCCCTCCTCCTCATCAGCTAAAGAACTGGGGAAAAGAATAGGAGCCAAGTGAACTGGAAGATTAAAAATGAAGCATACCCTTTCTGCTCTCTCAATACCCCCTGAGCTCCCGTGAATAAGGACAACTGGTGTAGAATGTGGGGACTGAGTAATCAGAATGGAATTCCATTGACCAAACTCCCAAAGATTTCCCCAGAGCTTTGAGTTCCTTTTCTAGTCCCTGTGTTCAGTTGGTTAGGACCTGAATTTGGGGGTATTATGATGATTGGCCCACTCCTCCTTGAGATACGGAGTTCCATAACTGAACAGTGCCATCCATGCCTTGAGAAGATAGCTGGTTCCAAATCCCTGTCCCCAACCAAGGAAAATCTGTACTTGCTGAAGATTAAATTTTCCCCAAGTTTTCAAGATCATTATATAAGAATGAACTCTATTTAGTGGACCCCTCGGGAGTATATCAGTATTGGAGCCAGGTTTTAGTATTTCTAAAGCCACTTGTAAAGTCTTGCAGGTGCTTTTTTTTTTTTTTTTTTTTTCAGTGAAGCAAAGAGAAAGTTAGCATAAGTAATTGGAGAATAGCACTGGTGGGAATGAGGCATGCTGGTTTCTTGGGAATTGCAGGCACTCACCCACAAGTCCAGACATGAGTGTGCCACACCTGGATCTCAGAGAGAAATCCCTGTCAACTGTGTTTTCTCCTGAAAACGGTAACACCAAACATACCAAAAGCTGTTTCTCTGTCTTAGAGGTTCCAGAAGTGTCCATGATTGAGGCATGAGGAAATAGACTAAAGATGATACGATCATATGTTCATCCTCTGATACCTGCTTCCAGAGACAAGGCTGCTGTCCTAGCTTCATAGCCATGGAGCTCCCAGGTGCACCAGTGACCATTTGCTCTATCACCCACTGTTCCTAGTAGACAAGGGCATCTTCTTAGATACCTGACTTTCAAAGGAATGTCCTGGGTGTCTATGGAGGGAGTTATCTGCCACGTCTGGCAAACTTGACAGTGATCACGTATGTAGACAGCCCTGCCCCATAGCCCTTTAGTCAGCCAGGTGCCCTCCACACCCCACAGTAGTGTTTGAAAAATGTCTTTTGTGCTCAAATATTTCTGCAGCCATGCTGATCTAGTGGTTGTCTGTGAGCATAGCATCAAACTGACAACAGCAGAGAGCAGTGAGCCTTGCACATTCCTCAACACACCTGAGACAAGACTCCAACAAGTAATAATTAGCTCTCTTCCTTTTGCCGCCCACAGTACTATATAACTTAGAGTTTCCCAAAGCAGACAGCGATTCCAGATGTCACTCAGAGGCAGCCCTGTGTTCATGGGAAGAGAAGCATAGATATGAAAACACCAGGATCGGAAAGGAAAAAATGAAGCACATCAAGGAGACCCTGATCTTTAAAGAGTGCTAAGATTCTGCTCTTGTGGGGGGCGGGCGCAGGGTTGGAAATGGACTATCCCAGGAAAAATTTCACCACTAATAATTTTTCACAAGTCTGTAGGACATTACACAATGAGAATACCCTTCATGGTGAATTTCACCACTAATAATTTTTCACAAGTCTGTAGGACATTACACAATGAAAATACCCTTCATGGTCGAATGTTTTAGACAGCAAGAACTGAGCATAATCCTAACCCATGGAAGGTGAGAACTATTACCTTATCAAACTTAGTGTAGTTGGTGGGGACCCAGAGTATGGGTAATTCAATCTCAGAGTGACCTGGAGTAGGTTCAGCCAGGCTGGGACATTCTGTACCATCCCACACCCACAGTTCCCATAGGCTTCTGAGTAACAGCCACCAGCGTTTTTCCTCGGGGTCAAGATGCCAGGACCAGCATTGCGTCTGTGAAAACATCCATCTGGTGACTACAGAAGTTGTGTGTGCATGTGTTCCTGTGTATTTGTCATGTGTAGCACATACCTACATGTGTAAAGATACAGCCTCATGTATGAACACACATGAGCTGGCACTTCCAAAGCTTTTCCAGCCTTGGAGATTTGGAAGGAGAGTCTTAGAGGAATGAGGGGCTATTGATTTCCATGCAAAATATCAAAGATACAAATGAAGTGCCATCCAAAGCCTGCATTATCACATAGTTATCTGCAGTTGTGTTCCTGGTGACTTATTAAAAGTCATGTTAAAAACTCAGACCCATAAATCCCCAGTAGCTAATGCTAGGCTAGTGTTCAAAAACACTCTAAAAGACATTTAGTCCTTATTTGGGGAAATAAACTATTTGCATGTTTAATTCATCTTTTAGGCTACCTTTGAGTATGCTGTACAGTGCTGTGTGATATAATATCAATAAATTACTTATAAATGGCACTTTAATATTTTGTTTTGAAAAATCATAAATAATGCACTGTTATAAATTTCAGTATTGAATATTGACTGGTGCATAGAATCAAATTCTGTAATTAAAAAGTAACCTGCAAATAGGATAGAACATTTTTCCTGTTATTAAAAAAAAACAGTTTTGCCATGTTAAGACTTTTTAAAAAAAATGTGTTTCTGTGCCACTGTGTGTAGCTATAAAGAAAAATACAATTTTTGTCAAGCACCTCTGAAACTTGGCTTTTTTATGTTTGGTTTGTGTATGTGGCAATCCCTATAAAGTGAGTGGAAGTATGACTTTTGAATTAAATGATTTTTCCATTTGATGGTGCGTTTATTTCTTGAATTTCTGGTCAGTTTTGACTCAAGATATCTTAATTTCTTCTAATATGCATTTACACAGTATCAAGGTCACAGTGTAGGCCCTTACAGTTCTGAATGTCATCTACAGGGCTGGCTTTTTTTTATGTTTGTTTTTTTTTGTTTCTTTTTGTTTAAATGATCTTGGAGTGGCTCTGTGTTATACTTACCAAGAAGTCAAATGCTGGTATACTTGAGTTGGCTACTCAGGCCTCTACACAGTAAGCCGCACATTGTCATATCCTGTATAAAACTAATGATTTTATCTTCTGAAACACATCATAGGTGTGAGTCTTCCAAACTTCACTTCTCTAACTAACCTTCTCCAGAGCTTGATACAGAACACAAACTGGCTGTCTTGCTTCTCAAGCCTTCTAGTAATGTCCTGAGTTATAGCTTAGGACCCAGGTTTGCAGTGAACTTCCAGTCCTAGCTCAAGTTCCAAGAACTCATGAATACCTCTGAAGGAAGGGTACCTGGGGGTCAGGGTGAAGCTTCTCACCAGATGCTTGCCCCACATGGAGAAGGAAGGGAAGTTGGGGAGGCTCCTTTGGGGCCTGGATTTATGGAGGAAGCTATTTGAAAGTATGTGTCACACGTGAGCACTCTATGTCACCCTCCTCTGCCAGGCTTGGCCTTGGTTGAGCTCTGGGAACAGCACAAATGACCCACACCTGTTTTCCTCGCCAGCTTTGCAGGTCCTTTAGAAACACTCTGCCCTTGAAGCCTACACATGTGACATGTTTGGTTCTGAGCTAAGGCTTTGAGTCCAAAAGCAACACTGGCAAGAATGGATTTATATGGTGTACATGTCTCCATCACAGTAGGTCACTGAGGGAAGCCAGGTCAGGAACTCAATCAAGCAGGTAAAGAGGCAGGGAAGCATGGAAGAATGCTGGTTACTAGCTCTCTTTAGCTTTCCTAGTTACTTATACAGCTCAGGCCCAACTGCCTAGGATTGGCACCACATACAATGGGCTAGCTTCTTCTGCATTAATTAGCAATTAAGAAAATGCCCCCTCTGGCATGCCCACGAGACTGTCCGTTGAAGGCAATGCCTCCATTGACCTTTCCTCTTCCCAAGCAGTTCTCTTGTGTTAAGTTGACAGGAAGCAACCAGCCCAAGCACACACATGTCTGATACTATTGCCAAGAGAATGACATGTGTGTGTCTCTTTCTGTCACGTCTGGCCTTGTCCTTCCCAACAGGCTTCCCGGTCACTCTGACTTTTGTGTCTTCACAAAGTGAAAGGTTTTCATTTTTGGTTTGCTTGTAGCAATCCCTGGAGCAGAACTCAAATGGTGGCATACCCAGTGGCTTGCTGATGTTATGATCATGTGAGTTCTGGCAGCATGGTTGGTTCGTTGTAAGAGCGAGTGCTGTGGTTAAAAGTAGACTTGATTGACAATTGAAACTACGTGAGTCTTCATGGGTGTGGAGAAATACTTTCTCAGGCTCTAAACCAGTGTCAGCTCTTGAGAATTATGCCATCTCTTTCTTCTTTCCTCAGATCTTTCTCGGACTTCACTCAGATGCCACACATCTCTCACTGCTTTTAATAGCTCTAAGTTAAGCTGTGACTAATTAACTGTGCTGAACTAGTCCTTGTCAACTGACTCTGGCCTGGGAGAGCTGTCCTAGGGGAAGGGAAGCGTATACCAAGGTACCAGAGTATAGCCCTGGGATACTCAGCCAGCATCAGACATTTGGGGACCAGAACAGGATGGTTTTCCATTGAAATGATCAAAAGCATATCTCACAGCAGTTGGCTGTCACACTACATAGCTATCCAGTCTTTTATATAATTGACCCCAGGAGCCTGGCCACACAGCCTCTGCTAGTGAGGCCCAGCTGGCTATAATATGCTTTCATGAGCCCATCCAGCAATCCAGTAAAGATTTGAATTCATGGCGTTCTTTCTGAAGACATCAACCCACATCTTACCATGTCCTGTGCCCAAGCTAAAGTTCAAATACCTGTTCTGGCACTATGGCCTGATTTCCCTTTTGCATTTATTAATTTCAGTATAGGGTAAGTGACCCTTGACAAAATGCTTCATTTGCTCATAGGCTCAGAGTAAAGACTTTTCTGCCCTCCACTCAGGCACGCAGCCTCCCCAGCTGCTGGTGCTCTCAACTAGTGCTTAGTACAACAAACCATCTGGGTAACCCAATGACCAAGAGTCAAAAGCCCCTTTACTGTCATCCGGGTTGCCGGTGACTCATGCTAAAATTGAAGCCTCTTCAACAAAACTCAGAATCACCTCAAACAGTAAAAGCACACTCCTTCCTAAGGGCCCATCAAGGAAATTCCACGATGTCCCACGGGACCTGGTCTGGTATCTATCACTCTCACTAAGGGAATTCTTTGAGTCTGACTGAAGTTTCCCATGGTGCAGCTGGAGTCCATTTCCGTCCTGGCTTTCCTCTGGTGAAGAATTAAGCGGTTACCATCCTTTGGTAGAGCTTACTATATTTACGCTTCCACTCAGTAGTTTCCTCTTGACCAAGTCACATGCCAGGAGCTGCTCACACTGGGAAAGGAGCACACCTCTGGCTTTATGGAACTCACACAGACTTCGTGGAGAAGATGGGTTCTTGCTGCGAGAGACAGAAGTAAGAACTGGAGAACACCTGGAAGAGATGACCTTCATACATGGCCTTGTCTCCGTGTGTGCACAGCAGTCATGTCCCACACGGACTGTTTCTAGGTTTGGTAGAGGGCTAGCCTTCCTTGCTTTTGCTTAGGCTGTCTCTCCTGGCCCCCATTTCTGTCTTCTTTGCCTCTGTGCATGATGTTAACAGCCTCTTCTGGCCTTCTGAGTAAAGAGTCTCTCAGAGAACACAACTTCTGGTATGTTCAGCTTTGGATCTGCAGAGACAGGGTGAGAGCTGGGTGTGTCTGAGTGACAACCTTTCCTCTTGGAGCCTCTGATTCTCTCATTTGGGGCTAATGGCTCCTCAGTTGTTGAGCTTTCTGTACATACTCTTGGTTTTCAGATCAGCCCCCACCCCAGAATCTAGCTATAAGCTTTGGTGGGCCCACCACCTTTGAGCCTGCACTGTGGAATAGCTACAGAGGCCCAGCCATGTTTGCCTGACTGGAAATACAGCATGTGAATTTCTTAAAAAAATTATTATGAAAACATTTTTCCCTCACCTGGACCAAGCTGCTGAGAACAGAACTTCAGACCAGGGAAACCCGATAGGTTTGTGTCTTCTCGAGGGAAAACCGCAGAAGTGTCTCCAGTCTGATCCTCCCACCCACCCCCCATGCTCCACAAGAGGTCATTCTGTGGCATTTAAACCCCTCCTTCAGTGGAAAAGTCAGGAGAGAGGAGGGAGAAGGGAACCCATCGTAGAGGACAGCTGAGACCCTGGGGCACAGAGAATACTTGACTTGTACTGGGTTCCTCTCCTAGAGTGGAAAGCTAGTCCCTACGAGGGCGACCTCAGGTGTGGACCAACCTCAGTATTCCAGAGGTCTGAAGTGGATAGAGCTGTTCTGGGTTATAAAGCACACTTGCACTTGCTAGGCCTCACACTGATTCTTCCCTGCATCCACTTATTTAATTCTCAAATCAACCCCATGAAATAGGTACCTGCTGTTATTCCATTATGCCTGTGAGGAAGTCAAATACCAGATTAGGCAACCTGTTCAAAGTCACAGAGTTAATCAGTAACAAAGCAGAGCTAACCCCAGCTCACCCCAGCACTTACACCCATAACATCCACAACTGTCTCACTGGGGAAGGCTCCACCCCCACCATGCCCTTCATTCCCTCACCCTGAGAGAATAGCTGTTGTTCTTATCTGCTGACAGCCAGCACCCTTTCTGCTGGTAAGAGCACCTCACTTTTGCTTCAGAGAGCCATATGCCCCTTACCCTCTGGTCCCAAGGGTTTGTATGGCCTTGCATCAACTCAGAATCCAGTGGTGACCATGTCTTCTGGGGTGAAAGCAAGAATTTGATTGCTTCAGGAATGAACCCAGGTCTACAGTGCCACAGCTTTGACCTCGAGCAAGGTACACAAACCCAGCATAGGACAGCATCACCCCTGTGAAGAAGCCGGTGCTGTTACACTCAAGAGGCTCTCTGCATCATTTCTTCCTGTCACATTTGTTATCTAAAGGCCCAGTGTGAGGCCCCTTCCCTTATGTGGACTACTTGTTGAGAATGAAGAGTGCATCTGTTGGAAAGTTGTCTCATGTAGCAAACAGAAATCTGTATTTGTTGGAATATAAAGTGAACAAACGCTGTCCTGGTTTGAGCAATCCTGGAATTGGCTTACACAAAGAGAAGCCCAATGCCTGTCTGCATGCTGCAAGCAGTGCTTATTTTTACAGTTCTGACATTTGGTCTCTTTTCTGAGTCAGGAGAGGCCATGACTAGATCTCCTAAGGACAGGGAGGAATTCTGTCTGTCAGAGCCCTCTACAAGAAAATTTTCCCAGCCCCAGCTGATTCTCCCTGTCACTGGCTGATCAGCCCTGCAGTAGTACATCAGTGTTGAGCCGGCTTCACCCCAGAATTCTCACAGAGGATCCCCAGGGCATCTCTAAGCAGTAAATCATGTCTAACCAGGAGATGGAATTGGGTGCCATAGAGCTCTCATCTCAGAGAACTGAGCACACCCTGAGGCCACACCTAGACCTGCTCAGCAGTCCCATGAACACAGGTCTGAGAAACTCTAGACACCCAGTTCAGACCTTCACCTCTGCTTGGGTGGGGCAGCATAACTGGGCCTCTAGAGGTCCATGGGTGGGTATATCTACTTAGCCTCCCTTGAAGGCCCTGCTGTGGCACCTTGTCTGTGATATACTCAGTGTCAAGACTGTCAGATAAAAGTAAAAATTACAGCCTTGACAGGAAGGCCCACAGGCTGGGAGGACTTCTGGTCCACCAAGGAGCCGGCTTTACTTAACAATGCCCTGTACCACTCTCGAGGCGCTGTGTGTGTGCGTGTGTTCAGCAAAACTTCAAAACTCAGCCCCACACCTGAAGGAGGGAGGAAGAGAAAAGGAAGAGGGAGGAGAAAAGATGAAAGGAGAGAGAAGGGGAATTAAAAGGAGGAGAGAAGAGATTAAAACTTCAGACACTCCCGTGGGGGCAGGAGGGAGGAGAATGAGGAAGGAGGAATCTTAGCTCCTTAGCTTAGCATTTGAAGTTCTTCCCAAACGGGCCCAAACCTTTCATTTCTTTCTTTCTTTCTTTCTTTCTTTCTTTCTTTCTTTCTTTCTTTCTTTCTTTCTTCCTTTCTCTCTTTTCTTTTTGAAAGATTTCCCCAGAGTCATCAATTCTTTATCACTCCACATGACATGGGCCAATGCTCATGTTTTTATTTGCTTAGCTTTTATTAGACATCTGTGGGATCCATGCCTTAGTGCTAGATGCTGTCTTTTTATTTGTGTTCCTGAGGTTAAGCTAGACTTGAGTGCCCTTTGTGTCTTTCACTCCAATGGAATATCAGCTGCCATTGCTGGTCTGGTTCCATTAACCTTTTTTCTTCTTGGAGCTAATGTTTTTCTTTGGGGAAGCCTCCTCCTGCCCTTGGGGCCCATCAGTTTTATGGGTTGACATCTGTATTAGTCAGGATAATTAGAATGTCTTTCAGGCTGTGTCTGGCTAATATAACAATGTACAGTTATACATGGAAAGTCCAAGAACCCAGTGGTTGCTCAGTCCATGAGGTTGTATGTGTCAGTTGGTCTTTAGTAGATGCTGGAATCTAGAAGAAGTAGAATGTAATGCCAGTGAAAGAATGGACTTGCTAGCAAGGCAAGAGCAAACAGGCAAAGAGCAAAAGCTTCTTTATCCTTATATAGACTTCCAGCAGAAGGTGTGGCCCAGATTAGAGGTCTGTCTTCCCACCTCAAGACTCAGCTTAAGGACCTGTGTTTTCTCACCTCAAGATCCTGATTAGAATGATTCTTACTACTTTAAGTTAAGCAAAAATTCCATCACTGATGTGGCCCCCATTTTGGGATTTTAGTTCATTCTATATGTAGTCAAGTTGACAACCAAGAATAGCCAGCAGCAAACCTGGATCTTAGCTCATTCACCAGGGGGCTGGTGGGGCCTCTGAGATCATAAGACCTAACTGGTCAAAGCAATTGGTTGATTTAGGAATGGGTTTGGGGCTAACACAGCCTGAGGAGAATCGATTGGGGGGGTGGTTAAGACTAGTCATAATAGACTTTCTCTGTGTAGCTAATCTGAATCATAGGATGATTGGCAGTCATCTCATCCCTTTAATGGGGGAGCTAGCCAGAACCCTGGGCAGCCTGTGTGAAGTGCTGTGAGAAGCAAAGGGCAGCACTCGTCATCACTGGGATGGATGCTCCCAGCTTTTCTAGTACATCAGTAAATTTTCATTGTCTTCCATATGCTTTGCTCTAGGGTCTTTCAGTTGTGACCAGAATTCTAGATAAAATGCTGTGGTCATCTCTACAGCTCTATGGCTCTCTTTGGCGATGAGGACAGGACACTGGCTCTGCTGGAAGGGGGTGTTGCTGTTTCCTAACTATGTGAACTTCAGGCACACCTGTATCTTCTAAGAGTATCAGCTTCCTCAGCTTTAAACTGGATATAAAAATGCTTGCCTTTCGAGGTTGTATTGATTCAATGAAGTGGCATTAATATGTTGCATAAAGTTCCTTGTCCTGAGACTTCGTTATTGCAGTTTGAAGTTCCCCAATGCCTTGCAAAGAGTTGGGAATATCTACATCCTGAGGATATTGTTCATAGCCATGACTGTGCTTGGCCAACCAGGGTTAGAAGGCATTGGGGATGCAAGAGTCCTGCCCATTGCTCCTTGGAGGACCATGACACCATCATCTAGTTTTCCACTGGGTTCCCTGGCCAAGCTTCAAAGGACTAGACATCTGTGCTGAGAACTGTCCAAATGACAGTGTCTGAAACATACATGGTCTAGCCTAAACACAGGACATGGACCAATCAGACACTGGCTCCTGAGAGAGGGAAGATGCCCTTGGAAATGAGGACAGAAGATGAAGGGCTCCTGGGATGGATCTGGGACTGATGATCATGTCATGTAAGGTACACATCTGAAGACACAAAGAGCCCTGTGTGCTGAGCAGGACGCTTGGTAGAGACAACAGTCAGAACCATGGGAAGAGAGAAAAGTCCGGACCCACTTTCATTTCCCTAGAGAGTTCTGTTGTGCTTTGAGCCTAGGATCTAGAATTCCAAATGATTATTATGACCTTAAAAAGAACATGTTCAAGGATTGGGTGAATTTGAATGACTTTTATTTCTTAAGATCAGAAGAGAACTTCCTAGAACCAGGATGCCTCTCAGCTGGCAGCAGAGAGCTTCTGGTAGATGGATGATTGGCCCAAGGTCATGTGGCAAATAAGGGTTGTGAAGCCTCTCGGATTTTTTAGTCTGAACACATTACATTCAGGGTGGGGCATCCACATGAGTGAACAGAGAATTTTCCAAGCACAGTGGGAAGGTTAGGTTTAGAAATGCCCATGAACTGAATCCCTAATTCCTGCAATCATTTCTTTCTTTTATTTTTTTGTTAATATTGCAGGTTGCTTTTTCAACACACATGCATGTACACATGTGTGTACAATGGTGTTAGACAAGCAGGGATGGTGGCTTTCTTCTCTCTCTGTGGCCCTAAGATCTTACTTTGGGTGACACCTAGAATGGCTTCCTAAGAACGGCAAAACTGAGCCCTTGAGTGCACTGGAAAATCTCAAGCCCACTGCCACATGCATGGTTCCAGGACCCTGGGGAGAGAGAGAGATCTGGAGAGGAGGGGCAGGACATGCCATTCCACAGAATCCTAGCTGGCTGTCCATCCTAACTGCAGAGTCAGCCCTGCCCATCCCTGCTCAGGCCCCAAACAAAGCTGATGAAACAAATTCTTGGAACCCACAGAGGCCTGTTCATCCAGGCTTTCTACAACTAGTTGGTAACTGTACAGGGATCTTAGAGTTGCTTGTTGAACTGCTAGGAGCTTGGCATCAGCATCAGTGGGGTACTTCATTTTGACATAGTCAAGACCGCCAAATGCTACATAGACTGGAACTCCCCAGTAGTTGTTTGCTCGGTGCAACCAGCACACGATTGCTTAGTCTGCCTGGGTGCTGACCAGCTAGGTGGCACTTGAACTTGGCTTGGTCTACAGTCTAGATGGTTGTACTGTAAGAAGAGGTGGGGTGGAAGGATGGAGGGCAGTGCATAGAAAAAGGAAGAAGCTGCAAATACCTCATTTGGAGCAGTGCAGAGCTCCACAGTTGACTGGCTGTGGAGATAAAAAGCAGTCCTTTCCCAACAAGCCTGCACTCCGCCTTTGGAATCAACAGCTGGTTTGTGTTTATTTGAATCTCTTTTAACAGGACCTAGAATAAGGGATTTAGTCCTCCTCCCCCAAGGGAGCTTCTTAGAACTTTGTGAGAGCTGCAAGGAACCTCCTGCAAATCCTGTCCATCCGAACACAGCAGACAGGCATCCCTCCATGCAGCAGAGAGTTAGTTTGGAAGCCAGCCAGATGGGAAGTGCCACAAGCTCCTTCCCCAAGGCCAGTGCAACTCTCAGTGACCATTCAGGGCTTCTTTGGAAGTGGAGGAACCATACTTTCCTTTGATAACTGCTGTGGGCAGGAGGCCAGACAGAGGGCAAGAGGCAGAAAGGTGATGTGATTAAGCCAGCAGGGTCCAATGTCCATGGGAGCCAGGCTTTGTCAGAGGTCCCAGCACACCCTGCCACTATAGGAAGTGTTCGAGTTTTCAGGGCCTCCTTAAAACCAAATGACTCAGATATGGTGCCCTAGAGTCTGTTTTCAGCTGCCATCTGAGGTGGAAATAAGATCAGGGGTCCTCAAAAGTAATCCCAAGGTCATTGGAGGGGCATCAAAGCCAGACATGATTGATATGTTAACACAGATGTTTCCCTTTGATTAAATATTGAGAACTTCTGATTTGTTTTACAGTATTATTAGGAAGTTTCTTTGGCTCATAGACATATAAGTGAGAAGTTTCTTTATAGTGATTAATACACACAAGTAAGAGTGGAAAAATCCATATTTACCTGGATGATAAATCAGAGGATAACCATGTGACAAAAGACCTCCCCTGAGTTTCCTCTGCACGATGAGATGAATTTACTCACTGCAAAAAAATTGACTTTCCAGTAACCCAATTGCCATAAAGTGGCTGAAGTGCACAGGGCTCTGGCAGGATCTACATGGCTGCAGCTCTCTCACTTTGCAGCTGATTAGAGTCCAGGTAGCTTTTGGTCAAAGCTGAAACCATCACCAACACAGGCTGTCCCAAAGTTACTGTTCCTGATTTTACCTTTCCCAAATGGACTCACGAGCAAAGTAAAGCCTGGATGTTCACATAATCCATCTGCAAAAGGAAGGACAATGTGGTCAGCTGGCACTAAAATTGGGGATTTTAGTGAGCCCCTCAAGTTCTCTACACAGCTTCTGTAACTGTTTAGCCTCTCTGAACCATCATTTTAAAATCAAGCGGGAAGGTAATTCCCACCTGTAGAGACATCAGAAAGATTAGGAGAAACCAAACAGATGCACACACACATACACACACACACACACACACACACACACACACACACACACACACAAACACACACACACACACAAACACACACACACCCCACATACACATACACACATATACATACACACATTGCACACATCACACACATACACACACATACACACACATACACACACATCACACACATACACACATCACATACACACATCACACACACACATACAGACATATACATATATCACACACATGCACACATCACACAGATACACACATATACACACATATCACACTCATTCACACACATCACACACATACACACACATCACATATTCACATATATACACACATCACACATAATACACACACACAAAACTTCAAGCATGTGACATAAAACATTGAGAGACCACCACTTAACTTCTATAAAAATTAATCTTGATGAGCCTCTCTCCTTTTGTCTCCAAAGCAGGAATAATCACAACCCAAAAGCAGAATTGTTTCAACAATGAAATGAAATGAATTACCTAGAGTATCTGATGAGTATCCAGAACTATTGATCACCAAACATAGTAAAAACAATTGTAACTAGCTGAATAAAAACTTCTGAGTCTTAATAATAAAGGTACGCAAGGAAGTTCTTTCTCATACAGGAGCTGAAAGCCAGCTGTATTGTAGAAGACATGACAGGATCTCTGTTCCCACCCATAGTACTGGTAGTGCTTTAGTGAATCAAGAATCATCAATGGATGATTCACATCCGATATTTGCATAATCTCAAAGTATCTCTGTACAAGATACTTATCTATCCAAAAGGATAAATTGGTGACTTTGTAGTGGAATCTAGCAGACACCAACTCTTTATTTTTGAATTGTGATTTCCAGGTTACCCTTGTCCTCCAGGGTGCAAGAGCTCATCCTACCTCACTCCTCCAAATGCCTGGGGCTATGTCTGTGAAGTTCATGCTAAGACTAAGTTTTAAATTTATTTTTGTGTGTGTGTACACATATGACTCGGAGTACAACTTTTGGGTGTTGGTTCCCTCCATCTGCCATGTGGGTTGTAGAGATCAAATTCAGGTTGTCACACTTGGAGGCCAAATGCCTTTACCTTCTGAGCCATCTCATTGGTCCTAAGCCTAACTTTTAATGGGATGGACCAATAATATGTACCTCCTAGGAGATGTTGAGTGGGACCTAAAAAATCCTTCCAAAAATGTATAATCTTAACAGTACCCTAAAGAGACCAATCAGTAGAGAGTTCACTCTAAAAATGTCAGATTTTAGAAAGATTCCAATGCTCCCAGACATGAAAAACAGATGCAATATATAAGTTTGATTTCCATGGATAGAAAGGATATCATAGGAAAATATAGGATAAGAGACTAGTTAACTACATTGTGTAAGTGTTCATTCTGTGATGGAGACAATTGCATTATAATTTGAAAGGGTAGATTTTTAGGCAGACTGTTACAGAATATATGCAACTAACGGTAAAGGCCATTCATCTACAGCTTCCTCTTAAGTGACCAAACTAAATATTTAAAGGGGGCTGAAGAGATGACTCAACAGTTAGGAGTCTGCCTTGCTCTTATAGAGGACTGGAGTTTTGTGGCCAGAACCCTTGTCCAGCAGCACACAACTGCCTGTGACTCCAACTCCAGGTGATCTGTTCTGATTCTTCTAGCTTCTGGGTGTGCCTGTACTCATGGGTATCCCCATCCCCCGACAGACACATACAATTAAAAATAAAAGAAATCTTTAAAAATTGAAGAAAGGTAGATGGTACATGAAGCAAATGTAATCAGATCCTAAAATTGAACATATTTGGGTAGAGCTTGTCTGAGAATTACTGAGGTTTATCACTTTTTTGGAAGCCTAATATCATGCTTAGAGAAGTATGCAGCCATGCCAGACAACCGATAGTATTTGTTGTTCTATCAATCAATGCTAAGCACAGACACAGATGCTGTTCTGGAGAGCTTAGAGGCCAAAAGGAACAGGAGCGCAGTGTCAACACTGGAACTCACTAGGAGACGCTTTTAACTTTTAGAATTTTTAGCATGAAGTGTAAGCCTGCAGCAGCCACTGCCATTCATCTTGATTAGTTCCTCGTTGTGGTTCCAGGAGTGTGGTCCAGGTGGACTGTGTGGTCTTACAGTAAAGTACGCTCAGTTCCTTGATGCTGCTTCTTAGCTTCCTGTGTCTGGAAGGCGCTTCAATGCACCAGACACTGGGTCTAGCTTCCAGCTTCAGAGAAAACTGTAAAAAGGCATTCCAGGCTAAGGGTTTAATCTTGGCTCTGTCTCTGTCAATTTGAGGATATAACTATAAGAGAGTGCTTTTAGGAGGACAAAAGTGCCCTATGAATACATTACCATTCAGTGTGTGCCCTGTGGTGGAGCCTGTCACTTTGCGGTTAAGAAGGCAGGCTCCAGAATCAGTCAGACCTCTCCCAAATCCAGAGTCACTACTGACTGGAGAGGTGATTTGGGGAAAGCCATTTGACACCTCTGCCCTCTAATTTCCTTATCTATAAAATGGGGATAAGAAACATTATGGAATTCAATTCAGACAGATGGTACAACTGACAAGATCCTGCAAGTGACCGGTTTTATGGCTGTGCATCCTTGTTTCCAGAGTGATATTGTTTTGAGATGACCCCGAATCAGAACAGTTCCACTAGGATATTTGGTGATCATACTTTTCCTGTCTTGGCCAGCCTACCATCTCATGACACACATTGCTGATTACTTTGAATGTTGAATTTTCTCCTGGCACTAAGTCCTGCTGGTGTCCAGAAGGAAGAGCCAGGAGAGAGAGCCCAATCATCTTCCTCCCCCGCCTTAGGTTCCCTCTTGCCAGTTGACCCTTGGGAACTCTGGGGCTTCTACAGTCCTAGAGATACACACGTCACCTGGGAAACTCACCCAGAGGATACTTAACTGTAGACAGAACCTCAGTGCCAGCCCAGAGCTGTGTCCTTAGTGTGACATCTTCCCAGGGACCCCCGAGTCTGCACAAATTCTCCTGTGTAGCAACGGGGAAGGCAGTGGCTTTGCTGCTGTGGTTCTGTAAATACAACCAAAATCTGGGAGCTGCACTTCCCCCACCAGTCCACAGCGGCCTGAGCCAAACCTCAGGAATGGATGCTGGACAAAAATGTGTCAGAGGAAAAATATGCCTCCAACTTCTCCCTTTCAACTTCCACGCCCATATTTCTGCCAGCCTGCTGGACATCTCTGGTTAGATGACCCATGGTCGTGTCTTCACCAAAACAACATGTCCACAGTGATAGCTGACCCCTCCTTCCCCCTTCTGTGCCAGCCAAGTGAGAAACCCTGAAACCTGCCGCCTCCACCCATCTGTCCCATCAGTTAGCAAGTCCTCCCCATTGAGAATCCACAGTGATGCAGGCCTTATTCCTCCTCTTTGGCTCTCACACGTCGACCAATGGGGACTCAGTATCCCTCACTGAACTCCCAGTCTCTCCAAAATCATCTTCCTTCAGCCAATCCATTCATCCCTGTTAGCTCCCTCTCTATATTAAGAACATGACCATTATCCAACATGGCGAAGCATGCGTTGGCTCCCTTGCAGCTCGGGAATAGAGGGAGGACTCACACATAGTCATGTTCATTCAGCCACCTCCCTGGCTTCCACTTGCCCTGAACACCCATTCCTCAGCATCCCAGACTTCTCAATGGGCCCCCAACTGCTTCTTACATTTCTCACTAGCTTTTGAGTAAGGTTTTCCACTTGTATGGACCTTTTTCTTCCATCATGTAATAACCTGGGAGAATCCTACTTACCTTCAAATCCAAAGTGACAGTCATTGTTTTAGGAAAAGCCTCACTCTCTTAGGTCCTCTCCACCCAAGTTGTCAGCATGTTGTTTATTATAGCTGGCTGTTGGTTTTCAGATTATTGTTTATGTATTTACACTGGATGCTTATCTGGCATTCTAAGACCATATGTTATTCCTGATGGACTCCTGTATCCCGGGAAAGAATAGAGTGTGTGTTCTGGAAAGGATGCCCACACGGCCTGTGTACCATGTGCTGTGGTACTGGAGGACAGCACAAACAGTTGGCATGGCATGGCTCCTTACTATTCTTTTATTAGAGTGAAATGACTACAATGTAGATTCTGCAGTAGGCCGTGTCAAGGAACATTTCTCTTTAGCTGAACGTGGAATCTTTTTCCTTGGTGTCTTTCCTGAATTCTTATATTCTCAGTGGATCTCTGAGGGATATCTTTTTTTTTGCCATAAAAAAAATAAAAAGAGACATTGTATTCTGAATTTTCACGCCAGGGGAAGCAAGGTGGGGGGTTAACTACCTGTGGCTTCAGCAGCTCTTATGTCTCAGAGGAGACACTGACAAGAACACCATTTGTCAATAGCTTTAAATGCTGATACCTGAGGTGGCCGTTCCCACGCCTGGTCATCTTCACATGATATTTAGAGCCAGGATTAGACTGACCCTGGCACTCCACAGCCTCCGTTCTAATTTCTTCCACACTGAGTTTCTTTCCAAGTTTCTGATCATTTCTACTTTGAAAGGCGGCCAAGGTCCTGGTGGCAGCCACCACCATGCCGAGTCTCCAGGCCTCCTTTGCCACGGGGGCTTTGGTGTCTCTGTGTATTCTAGTGTCTGCCAGGTGCGGTGCACGCAGGGGGCAGGCCCCCATTCTGATGAGGTCGGCACCTCCTGCACGGGATCTCATTTTTTTCTCCATCTGCACAGCTATTTGGGCCCCAGGCCCTGTGACTCACATGGTGGCTATCCATCTGCCCATTTACCCCAGAAAGGAAAAAGGGCTTCTTTGCACACAATGAGTCATCCTATGATATATGATTCAAGCCACCTGCCTGCCTCAGACAGTAGCCGAGGTCGGTGATAGTGGGGCTTCTTTCTACACAAAGATGAATGGAACTTATCTACTCTCCTCCACCCTCAAACCAGCCCAAACTCCCACCTCAAACCAATAACGGGAGGGCTAAGGTTGCAGAGCCTCCAGCATCCTCTTCTGCACTTGCAGACACCCTGATTGGCTGATGAGACCAGTGCGAGCCTGAGCGTGCCAGCCGTGGGCCCTCACAGCTTAGCCTCAGACTTGGCCCATGAAACAAACAGAGAGTCATACACGGAGGTCAGAATACATCGTTTCCAGGTTGAGGTCTGTGGTCCTAAGATGGCTACTTTTGTATTCCCAGACAGTCGATTACCTACCTGACTCGGGAATGCGAGGGATAGGAAGGGAATACACTCACGGGGAATAAAACTTAAAATATAAACAAGAGCAAACAGTGAGAAGTCCCTTTCCTACCTCAGTTCTTAAGACAGGGTTTGAGAAGGAGAAAGAAAATTATTTTTCTAGGTTTAGCATAATGAAGTGCCACAAACAGGGTAGTTTAAACAATGGAAATTACCATCCCCTGTTTCTGGAGGCCGGAGTCTGAGCTTGAGAAGGCAGGCTGTGAGGGAATTTTGCTTCTGGCCTCTCCACTAACTTCTGATGTTTTGCTGTCAGACTTTGGTGGCCCTTGACTTGTAAAAATGTCACCTTGACCTCCATTTTTTGTTTTCATTTGACTTCGTCTCTGTGTGCATGTCTGTGTCTGAACTTCCCTCTTTGTAAGGACTGATCATTTTAATACCTTCATCTGACCTTGATTATTCTGTAAAGACAGTTTCCAGTGACATTTGAGCACTAAAATTTGGGGTGACACAATGCAACCCATAAGAGGCAAGGCTTTGTGTCTCTGCTAGATTTCACTGGTTTCATCTCCGCCATGTTCTGCCTCCTGCCTTTCCCTGTAAGGCTCCTTTTTAGTCACACATATTAGTTATATTAGTTATACATTCCAGTGGCGTTTGTTGTGTTATTTTCATCCAGGCTTACAGTGTGCACTGATCATACCCAACCACCCTCCCTGCCCTGTACCTTCCCAGTCTGTAGTCATCACTGTCCTAAGGTCACACTGACTTGTAAAGTCTCACATGGAAGTGAGAAAGCATAGGCCTTGTCTTCTGTGCCTGGCCTATTTCACTTAACGAAGTTTTCGCCAGTTCTATTCATTTACCTCCAAGTGACAGGATTTTATGCTCCCTTGTGAGTAAAATTCCATGGTGGGTGTACGTGTGTGTGTGTGTGTGTGTGTGTGTGTGTGTGTGTGTGTGTGTGTTTATGTTTGTATGTGCATGTGTGTGTGCCTGCCTATGTGTGTGTGTGTCTGCATGTCTATATGGATACCTGAATATGTGTGTCTGTCTTTGAGTGTGTGTGCCTGTGTGTGTGTGTGTGTGTGTGTGTGTGTGTGTGTGTGTGTTTGCATGCCTCTATGTGTGTACCTGCATGTGTGTATGTCTGTGTGCTCACAGACCATCTTGTCTTTGTCCATCCATCTACTGGTGGGTCCCCAGGCTGACTGTCATCTCATGTATTAGTATGGAGACCTGCCCTGTCCTTTCTAAACCTTCACCGAACTGCAACTGATCACCTGGGAGTCTCATTATTAACTGCTCTCCAGTGCTGATGATTAACGCCTTTCCAGCTTTTTCTATAGAAGTTTTTGTAAATGTCTGTGAACATACGGTGTTGCACTTTCAAAGGAAGTGTATCTGCAGTATAATTTCTTAAGTAGAGTTGCCTGTTACTGGGGCAAGAATGTTTTGGTTTAGATCTAAATTCATGGAACTCTTTAAATGATCCTCTTTGTCTATACCACACAGAGCTGTCTGTCTGAGTCTGCTGACCTGAGACCCTGTCCTCATCTCTAAATCCATATGTTGGATCTGGGTGCAGAGATTCTAGAACCTTTTTCATATTTGAAGCCAGGGGCCAGGACAACACTGGCATGTAGAAATGTTATGTAGGAGAGGGACTTGGAGAATGAGGAGTAGAGCCATAAACACAGGTCTACTGTGGACATAAGTGCCATTATGATTTTTTCCCAGATGCATTTCCTATGGAAATACCTGTTCAGCTTGGCAAATGCTAAGTTTCTGTTTGGCTGCAAGAACTCTGAGACTGTGTGGCATGCATACATCTGAAGCCAGGCAGACAGTGGGTGACCAGGTGTGTTCAACAGAACTCCCAGCTGAAGATTTGCACATCTCCAGGTTTTGCCCATTGTTAGAGACTAACTCTCGGGCTACCAGTAACTTACTCCTTGCTTCTGTTTCTTTCCAGCCCTGTTCTCACCAGTTCTCAGCATGAGCATCTGTTGTAAGGAAATCCAAGGTCCAATCTTTGGCCACTGGAGAAGACAAGGCACAAAGCGGGCAGGTGACCCAAGTTTGTATGATGAGGAACAGCAGAGACTGGGCATGGGAACACAAGAACCTGAAGTGATGATTACAACAGACCCTACCCCTGCTCTCTGAACACAGACAACCCTGTAAATTAGCTAGGCACGGTGGGAATGGTTTGCATTTGTAAATATGCATAAATAAAGAACTGTGAGTGCTGTGAAGGAGACACATGTGGGGCGCTACGTGTGTTGGAGCAGAGGCTGCTCCAAGAGGAGCCCTGCAGAAGCCTCCACCCAGAAGGAACCACTTCAGAGGTGGCCTTTCTCCTGGTCAATGAGGCAGGTAGGACAAAGAGCCATTCCTCCCACCACTGCAGGCTTAAAGAAGGAAGGAGAGAAGGCCTCTGAGGATCCGGAGGGACAGCCTCCCACTCAAGCCTGACACAGAAACTTGAGGGACAATTGGAAAGATTCTTCAGGTGACTGAAGGAATGTTCTCTGACTGCTCCAGATCTTCTGCCTCCTCTCTGGGAGGGGCTGAAATACCTTCGTTCTACTTCATTGTTTAAAGAGAAAGCAAAGAAACAGACAGGATGACTACAGTTCTTCACATATAGCCACTGCTTCCTAGCAGGCAGCCAGGGAGCCCTGCTGGCCTCTGCTCCAATCAGGACAAAAACAACCCTGAAGAGGACTTTTACTCTGACATTACTTAGACACTACTGGGTTTTTGTTGTGATTGTGTTTGTGAGTATATGTGGATACCAGAGGGCACCCCTGGGTTTGTTCCTTTTACTTGAGATGGGGGTCTCTCCTGGTTGGAACGTGCCTCAGAACCTGCTTTCTACTGACCACAACTACCAGCTGTTATTCCCAGATACACTAGAGTGGAGCTTGGAGCCCTTCAGGACATTAACACAAGTCTGGGACCCACGATGTCTGGCACTTCCTTCTGGGTCAGTGGCCCAGCAAGTGTACACTGGCCTATGTTACTAGGTCTAGCAAGTGTGAGATGTGGAAGGGGAACTGTGTAAAGAATCATCTGAACTGGGCCTATAATCCCAACACTGTGGAGGCTGAAGGAGGAA